ACCAGTCCACACCCCCACCAACAGTGAAAAAGGTTCCTCTTTTCCACAGGTCTTTCAGCATTTGTTATTGGTCGGTTTCTTGATGGTAGCCATTCCTTCCAATGTGAGATGGAATCTCAATGTTGTTTCCATTTGCAGCTCTCAAATGACCAGTTTCTCATGTATTTATCTGCCATTTTTTTTAATTATTTATTTATTTTTATTTATTACATTTATTTATTGTGTGTGTGTGGCCAGCTCAGCCCACCAGGGGGCGGGCTGGCTGGCATGTGGTGCTGGGGGATCGAACCCTGGTCCCTGTGCTTTGCCAAGCTTGTTTCAAGTAGGTGCTTTAGACCACTGAGCCATCTCTCCAGCCCTGCCATTTGTATCTCTTCATCTGAGAAATGTGTATTCATCTCAGATGCCCATTTTTGGATTGGGTGTTTAAATATAGGAGGTCTCATTTTTCGTTTGTTTGTTTGTTTGTTTTTTTATGTGCTCTTAATAGCAATCCTTTGAGGAACAGTTGGCAAACATTTTTTTCCCACATTTTTGGGTTGGCTCATTTGCTTAGTTTGGTTTTTGGGGATTTTTTTTTAATGTTTTATTTTTGGTTTTGCTTTTTTTGGGGGGGAGAGGGTACACCGGGGACCAAACTCGGAACCTTGTGCTTGCCAGGTAGGCATTATGCCACTGAGTTATCTACCAACCAGGTAGGCTGGTTCTTCACTCTATTGATTTCTTCTCTTGCTGTACAAAAGCTTTTTTAATGAGATCCAAATATTGATTGCCCTTGCCAGGCAGGCACTTACGCCACTGACCTATCTCCCTGACCCTCCAATTTTAATCTTCATCATGGGCAAAGCCAGTTTTTCCAGCACCATTAATTAAAGAGGTGATCTTTCTTCCAGTGAATGTGTGGCTCTTTTTATATATACACTCAATCATTTACTTATGCCAGTATGGACCACTGGATATGTACTTTAGACTGTGGGTTATTTTTTTTTTATGTGTGTGTGTGTGTGTGTGTGTGTGTGTGTGTGTGTGTGGCCAGCTCAGCCCACCAGGGGGCGGGGCTGGCTGGCATGTGGTGCTGGGGGATTGAACCGTGGTGCCTGTGCTTTGCTAAGCTTGTTCTAAGTAGGTGCTTTAGACCACTGAGCCATCTCACCAGCCCCAAGACTGTGGGTTATAATCCAATACCATCTTATTTTATTTGTGGGGGCTCAAATTTTTCCAACGTGGGCCACTGGGAATTCAGGAATCCTCTCATACACACTCTTTCATTGTGGTTTGGGAGCAATTTAGTGATGTTTCTTTTAAAAAAAAAAAACAACAACGGGGCCGGGGAGATGGCTCAGTAGGAGAAGTGCTTGACTGGCAAATACAAGGATCTGAGTTCAATCCCCGGTTCTGAAAAAAAAAAAAAAAAAAAAAAAAACACGAAATCACCAGCAGATCACACAGATCAAGACAGTAAATATATTCATCAGCCCCTAAAGATTCCTCAGGCCACTTTGCAGTCTTCCCTCTGGTATCCTCTCTCCAGCTCTCAGGCACACATGGACCTGCTTTCTGGCCCCACAGATTAGCCTATGTAGCCCACAAGAAGGAAAACATGAACCCAAGACCTTTCCGTTGTCATTGGCAATACTGGAGACTGATCCAAGGCCCTTGCACTAAAGTACATCCTCAGTCCTTTTTGTTTCAACTTTGAAACCGGGTCTCACTCGATTTGAATTTGCAATCTTCCTGCCTCAATCTCCCAACATGCTGGGATTATAGATAAGTGCATGCCATACAGCCCAGCACTGAGGAACTCATTCTTTTTTCTCTCGCCCCCCGTTATTTATTTACTTATTTATTTAGTACAGGGTCTCCCTATACAGCTGACTTGTAGTGATGCTCCTGTCTTGGCCTCCCCAGTGCTGGGATTACAGGTGTGCACCACCCTACCCAGTTTTGGTGGCCAGCACAGCATACCCGGGGTGAGGAACCCATTCTAAGGCAGCTGCAGAACCAGAAAGGGCACAGAAGACAGGGCCAGTACAGAGACTGAAGGAAAACTCAAAGCAGTGACCACAGAGCCATGAACGGGCTGCATCCCTAACCCTAGCCACTGGCTCAGATCCCAAGAGAGGTGGGTACACACACTCAGCCCAGACTGGTGTTCATGGGCTGGCGGGATTCAGGCTGCTCTGCTTCTCTAGTGGTCCCCATAGCAACAGAGCAGTGCCCAGCTGTCAGTGTATGCTGCTCTAAGGAAGACACCATAGATGCTCCACGTGGCAGAGATTTCACACTGTTCTGGAGGCTGGCAAGTCCACAAGGCACAAGGTTCAGTGTCTGGCCTGTTCCAGATTGAGTAGTTTCAGGTGAGTAAAATCTAAGATCCCTGACATCCGCCTAGCTCGCTTCCCAATCTCTTCCTGTCATTTTTTTCATTGAATTGCAATCTGAAAAACCAATCATTATTCCTGCATCAAGATGGAAAAACAGAGCCAGGGTCATGGCTCAGGAGTATAAGCGCCTGCCTGGTAAATGCAAGGTTCCAAGTTCAATCACTGGTACTCAAAAAAAGATGAAAAGAATGAGTAGAGAAAAGTAACAAGAGACAGGAAAAAATTGACGAAGGATGGATGGTTTCTAGCCCTCCCTAGTGCTGCGCAGCAACAGGTGAGTTTGTACCCAAGTCACAGCAGCGGAGCCAGGAGGACGAGGTACCGGCAGTACTCCTGCTGAGCCAAGCTCCGCGCCAGTCCTCTGCTTGGTCCCATTCGGGTACCCTCATCTGATTTGGAATCAAGCCGCCTAGGAACCGGCTGGAGCAAGTCCCAGTGTGTCACTGAAGCTGCCTCGGTTTCCCCATCTGCAACCCGGCCTGGTTGCCCACTGTTCTCCAATGCTGCAGTTTCCAGTGACCTGTTCTCTGGCGCCTGACCTGCAACTCCAGGGAAATTCTGGGCTCCCAGCGGCGAGGGAGGGCATCCTTTCCACCACGACCCACATAGCCCTCCTGACTCCCCTTCCCCAGAGGGCAAATCTAGAAAAACAAAGGTCGTCGTCGTAGAAACCCATTCTGGTCACTTGCTTCCTCGAAGCCATCGTCCTAGTGTTCTGTGCCCGCCTCCACCCGCACGCCCAGGTCTCAGCTGGGGTACAACATTGCGCGACCTTGCGCCACCGGGTTAGGACAGCGCGCAGCAAAGGAAGGTTTCCCGACCCGAAGCAGCAACACGTGGGCCCAAAGGGCTCGGCGGGTGGCCCCGCCCACATCAGGTCCCACGGGTCTCCGCCCACCGCGTTAGTCCCGCCCCTTCCTGCCGCTGGGGGCGGGGCATCTCGGGCTGGCCGCAGAGTTGCCTGGATGTTCCAGGCTCGGCGTTCAACTGGAGCTTCCGGCAAGCAGAAAGATAGTTGGGCGTCCCGAGACGCCCACTCTGCCCATCCTGCCCGTGAGGGTCTCGAGCTCGGCGAGCTGGCCGTTCTGGGCTACATCTCAGACACCTGGTTTCCAAGGACCCTGTTGGCTTTGGGAAAGTTTATGGTTCGGGTTACAGCAGCAGCCGCACAACGGCTCGGAAGGGCAGAAAGTGCAAGTTTCTACCACCAGCTCACGGGAGAGGGGAGATTTGGGGCTCCTTCTTTGACCTCAAGCCGGGCTTTTCCTGAGACTGGGCATTCTTCCAATTTTTTTTTTTTTTTTATGTTTGATGTAGAAATGACAACATTCATGAGAGGTTCACCCTCCTCAGAGTGCTCGAGCCGGGACTAGCACATATCTCCCTAGGCTGGTCACCCCTGAGACCTCGGCAGACACTCAGTAGCCAAAGGCATCGAGTCTCCTGCACACGACCCCGAAGGGTTTCTGCGGCTCAGACTGGCGCGCCCCGGACCGCTATTCCAGTAGGGCGTCACGTCGCCCCCGGCAACACACCGGAAGCCGGGGACTGGCCCTTTAAGGGGCTCCGCTGCGTCTGAGTCTTAGTTGGGCGCGCCCGCCCGCGGCGCCGGTGAAGCGAACATGGCCCAAGCGGCGCGGGTCGCGAGGGCGCTCTGGCCCGGCAAGTGTGCCCTCGCCGACAGGCTGGGCGGCCGCTCCTGGCCGCCGTTGCTCACGCAGAGCCGGGCCGTCTTCGCGGGGACGACGAGTAGCCGGCAGGGGCGCTCGCGGCTGTTGGGGGCGGTGACGCTGGCCGTGGGGGGCGCCCTGGGACTGTATCACACCGTGCGGTGGCACCTGCGCGCCCAGGACCTGCGCGCCCAGCGCCCCGCCGCGCAGGTAAGACTGGGCCGGAACAGGACTGGGATTGGCGCCGACCCCGGGACCCCTGGGCCTCCGCGAGGTCAAGAGGCACCTTCGATGACCTTGGGCGAGTAACTTGGTCCTAAGGATCCGAGCCTGCCGCTCCCTCACCTGTTAAGTGGGGGCGCCCCCGGCGCCTGCTGCCTAGGACTGTAGTGCGTGTTTCTCATGCAGTCGTCTTCCTAACGTGCTATAAGGTTGTGAGTTGCAGCAACGGGCGTAGTTGTTGCTGCTGCTGCTGTTGTTGGGGTGTTGTTTGGTAGCAAGACAGAGTCACACTCTGTAGCCCAGGCTAGCCTTAGACTTGGCAGTGATCCTCCTGCCTCAGCCTCCCCAGCGTTGGGATTGCTGGAGGGCCCATCACGCCCAGCTGGGGCTGATGAGCCTCAGACGGGGAGGTGTGACCTAGGGAGGTGTGGTCTCCGTACTGGTGGCTGCCCTGCAGATGCATTCTGGGATGCACCTTCTTTGCTCTCCTCCCTTCCAAGCCCCTTTTCCGGAACCCCAGAGTCCTGTGGCTCCCTGCCCGTGTCAGGGCCTGGTTTGTTTTCCACGTGAATAACAAGGAAGGTGGTGGACTACACCTGAGGCCCCAGCACCGCTGCGCCAGGCTCACCTGGGCAGCCGGCCGCGGTGCTGCAGCCACTCCTTGGGGAATTGAAGTCCACCCCACGCTGCCAGAGATGGCCTGGGTGGTAGCTGAGCACTACCCCTCACCTAGAGGTCCCTGGGGTTGGTGGGGTGAGGCTGACTCCAGGGGCCTGGACACTGCAGCTCAAGGAGGCTGAGGAGACCCCTGGAACCGTCCCCCTGCCCTGGTGTCCCCTGCCCTGGGGTGTGCTGGCTGGCGCTTGCACCTGTGTTTGCAAAGTCTTTACAGAAGATTCCCCAGAGAAGCAGGTCTGCTTGGGGCTGTGTCCAGGATCTGGGGCTGTCAGGTTTCAGGACCCCCCTCCGTCTCCCCCAGCTTTCTCTGTCCAGCCGCCTGCAGCTGACCCTGTACCAGTACAAGACATGTCCCTTCTGCAGCAAGGTCCGAGCCTTCCTGGATTCCCACGCCCTGCCCTACGAGGTTGTAGAGGTGAACCCCGTGCGCAGAGCAGAGATCAAGTTTTCCTCCTACAGGAAGGTGCCCATCCTAGTGGCCCAGGAAGAAGGCAGCTCAGTGAGTCTTGGGGGCCCCCCACCCTCTCCAGTCTTGGAGTACCCCCGAACCCGGGCTGTAGGGACAGCAGATGTGAAATGCCTGGCATGAGGCATAGCACCTCATGTGCAGCTTTTGGAGCCCTGGGGGGTGGGGCAGGGCTTGCAGCTGCCACCCTGTTAGCCACGCCCAGTCACCCTGACTCAGGATGAGGGTCTGAGGGTAGAGACCCGGGGCTTAGTAGGCATTGGTTTGGGGTGAGCCCTCCGGATGAGTGTATCGTGCCAGGGCCCCACAAAACCACATAGCTATAGTTTAAGAGTCAATGCCAATCCTGAAAGCCAAAGTCAAGCATGGGAGTACACAGCTGCAATCCCAGCACTTGGGAGGCTGAGGCAGGAGGGTTATGAACCAGAGGCCAACCAGGGCTACATAGGAAGTTCCAGGCCAGCCTGAGCTGTGTAGCAAGACCTTGTCTCAGTAAACCAAAACAACAAAGTGGCTTTCTCTTCCAGCAACAGTTGAACGACTCCTCTGTCATCATCAGTGCCCTCAAGACCCATCTGGTGTCAGGGTAAGGACACTTCTCTCTCCAGGGAGGCCTCCCTGAGCTGCTGCTGAGGTTTCTGAATGGGCAGAGCCAGTCCCACCTGAGGCCCCCTTTTCCCACCACCTCATCCCACCTTCTGTTGGGAGAATGATCCTAGGATCAAGCCCAAGCCCTTTTAGTGCAGCAGAGCAGAGTCTTAGGGGTGCAGTGAGGTGGCCCAGGGGACAGAAGGAGGACAGCTGGCATGAGACTCTGGCTCTCTCCCAAAGGCAGCCCCTGGAAAAGGTCATCACCTACTACCCACCCATGAAGGCCCTGAACGACCAGGGCAAGGAGGTAACCGAGTTCTGTAACAAGTACTGGCTCATGCTGGATGAGCAGGAGGCCCAGCGCATGTACGGCGGAAAGGAGGCCAGGACGTGAGTGGGGCCTGGGCAGCAGGGCTGCACCCCTGGGGCTGGGGCCGAGCTCTGCTCCTGACACCCCTGGGCCCTCCCACACCACAGGGAGGAGATGAAGTGGCGGCAGTGGGCAGACGACTGGCTGGTGCACCTGGTCTCGCCCAACGTGTACCGCACGCCAACAGAGGCCCTGGCCTCTTTCGATTACATCGTCCGCGAGGGCAAGTTCGGGGCTGTGGAGGGCGCAGTGGCCAAGTACGTGGGCGCAGCAGCCATGTACCTAATCAGCAAGCGTCTCAAGAACAGGTAATGCACACTTGCATGGGCCCAATGCTACAGTCTGCGGAAGGCAGGTGGGCAGCCAGGGCTCCGGAGCCCCTCCCCAACTGCTGGGCCTCCCTGTGCTTCTGCCCCCACGCAGGGCCTTGCCCCGCTGAGTCACCCCCATTCCGCCATCCTATCCAGGCAGGTGCTTTTTGGGTCTCCCCAGGACCATACCACTTCTCGGCTTGATGGTGCTCCCCTCCCCCACCCAGGCATCACCTCCAGGATGACGTGCGTGAGGACCTCTATGAGGCCGCCAACAAGTGGGTGGCAGCTGTGGGCAAAGACCGGCCCTTCATGGGAGGCCAGAAACCAAACCTCGCTGACCTGGTAGGTACATGGTACCCAGGAAAAGGGGCCTGCCCTGGGAGTGGGGAATGGGGTTAGACCCAGACATCTGGTCCCCTCCTGTCGTGCCCAGACCCACCCCCATCTGGTGTCGACAGAAACTCCGTAAAAGAAACCAACTGCAAGGAACTGCTCATACCTGACACGCTCAGGTTGTCCTCAGGCCTCGCTGAATCCAGAGCCCCCAGGGCAGCACAGGCCCAGGCTCTCCCTGCGCAGCTTGGCCCTGCCAACCTGGGAATTGGTGTCCGCCTCAGGCTGCCGTGCTTCCCAGCCCATCCTACCCAGCAGCCTTCTGGGCTAGGCTTTAGCACCCAGCCTTGAGGCTGTCCTGCAGGTGGACATCCTTGTTTAGAGTGGGTGCTGGGGCCAAGGTGCAGTGTGAAGCCACCACACATGCTCTGTGCCGACCCCATGTGCCGAGTGGCCCTTCATGGTCAAGAGTTGGAAGCTGACGGCTCGTGCTCCTTCCACAGGCAGTGTATGGCGTGCTGCGCGTCATGGAGGGGCTGGAGGCCTTCGACGACATGATGCGGCACACGCGCATTCAGCCCTGGTACCTGCGGGTGGAGAAGGCCATCACCGAGGCCTCCTCAGCACCCTGAGCGACCCCACCTGGTAGGGGTTGGCAGCAGAAGACTGCTGGGCACTGGAGTCCCCAGGCCAGGCCCAGTGGCACTATACATAGGAGTAGGGGGCAGGGTCCTGCACCTCACCTCCCCAGCTGATGACGCTGAAACTTCCAAGGCTGGGTGCTGGGGACACAGCTGAGCTGTTTCTGCTCACAAGTGCTAGGCGGGGTCATGTCCACCCCAGGGCAGCCTCCTGCCCCTGACCTGGGCAGTGGTCCCTGTCTGGACCTCCAGTTGTGCAGCCCCTGGTGATGCAGTAGGGTGGTGTTTAGGGTCCCTCTTCCCAGCCTCCCCTGCGGCACTGTCATGCTGCAATAAAGAAGAGGTTTGTTGCTCCCTTCTTGAGGGCTGTGTGTACGAGCCGACCAGGTCACTTCAGAGCACAGGGGAGGGCATGGCCCCGGGGCCAGGTCTAGCTCTGCTGGGAGCTGACAGGGCAGCAGTGCCGGATTCTGAGCCTGTTTCCCAGTCTGCAGTGAGTGCGGTGATGCTCCCAGCTCATGGGAAATTGCAGGGTTGGAGGTACGAGTCCAGTGTACAGAAAGGAGTGGCTGCGTCCACACCTCTGCTCTACAGAGTGGCTGTGCCCCAGGGACAGGACTCTGCCAGTGTCACCCCCAGGCTGGGACAGGTCTGCATCAAGATACTGCCTCAGTGTCTCCAATGTGCGGAGCAGCATGGGTTTCTGTTCCGCAGGTTCTGTCACAAGGCCAGGGGCCAACCAGAGGCCAGGAGGGAGGTCACTGAGCAGAGGTCCCCACTGCGCCCTGCTCGTGGGGCCCTGAACACCCCCCTAGACCATCAGGAAGGTTTCCCCATTCTCCTTTGTTGTAAAGACAAACCAAGTATGGTACTGCACACCTGGAATCCCGGCAGTCTGTGGGCTGAGACAGGACGATCTCAGGTGAGAGCCCAGCCTGAAGGGCACCGTGAGGCCATCTCAGAAATGAAAGGGTGAGCATGTGGCTCAGCATTAGAGCACTCCTGGGCTTGAACCCCAGTGCTTAAACCACTCACCTTCCTCCTAATCACTGACGTTCAAATAGCCTGAAGTGCCCTGCAGCTGCCTGGACATGAGGTTGGGGGCAGCATGGGGTCAGAGGCCTCAGTGTCTCCCTAGCACCCCGCTGCCTCTGCCTGGTCCTCATACCACCCTGGGCCTCTGCCTCTGGCCAGCCTGACCTTACAAATGTGTGTTGCTCCCAGAGGGCTGGCACCAAAGTGTTCTCGCCCAGGGACAGCCAGCCCCCCCAGATCCCTGGGCTGCAGCAGACACCCCGGCTACAGGAGGAAGGGGCCAGACAGGGCTGCCTCCTGCCCAGGCCAGAGGATGGAGGACAGGTGTGGGGGCTGTCACCACTTGGGCCTGCGGTGTTCACAATGAGGGGCCTGTGGGCCTCCCTTGCAGGGCCATGAGTGCCAGGTGAAGGGGGAGGGCTTTCCCTGCACCCCCTTGCTCTCCCCAGGTCCATCCAAGCACCCTCCCTTGGACCATTGCACCCCACCCCATCCGTCCAGTGGTCACCACTGTCCTCCCTCACCCTGTGCCCCCTCTTTGCTCCCCAGCTTTTCCTGCTCAGAACCACTGCTGTTCTCCAGCAGAGTCCCCAAGAGGAGCATCTAATGTATCCCACGTGTGATAAGGGCATCGCCTTCTGTCTGGGCAGGGGCAGGGCCACAGCTCCCTGCTCTGCCTGCCTGCTGACCTGGGCTTCCCAGAGCCCCACGTGCAGGTGTGGCCGCCACCACACGTCCCTCGTCCCTCTGCTGTGGTCGCAGAGGCCAGGGTCATTTTTTCATTTTTCCCCGTCTCCGCGCTTCACAGAGGCTCAGAGGATGGAGTCAGAACCCTGCTGGGAACAGGGGCCGGACTTCTCGGGGCCCCTTCCCGAGGGCTACTGCAGGCAGAGAGAAGCCTGCAAGGACTCCATAGTCACCTGGAGGATCCCAGGCTGGATACCGGGTGAAGGGCTGGGGGCTGGCCGGGCAGCCTGATGATGCCAAGGGGCCTTATCCTCCCCGGCCCAAGGAGTCCAGCTTTTCTCTGTTTCCCTACAACCGCCAAAGGGCGCAGGAGGTCTGCGGAGCCTGGAACGCCGCTGGCGCTGCCCCCTGGTGGCCAATTTCAGAATCAATTTGGGTGCCATCATGGTCCAGGGACCAACGGGTTTATTGTGTCGGGGTCTGAAGATTAGTATGTAGGAAAAAATCCACCTCTCTCAAGGAAAAGACCCCAAAGCAGAAACCCTTGACCCAGTCGTTCCCCGTGTCCTGACGGCAGCAGGGTCCTGAGTTCGGCACCTTGGGCAGGCCCTTTCCTGTCGGACGGCATCAGCGAACCGTTGCGTGGGCTCGGTAAGGTCCGGAGAGGGGAGTTCCTGGACGACGAATTGCAGAACTGATGTTGGCGACATTTTAATGCAGCTGGTAGGGGGTGCTGCTGCCTGGGCACTGTCCCTACTCTGGTGGCTTCCAGGGATTAGGGTCAAGAACTGGGAGAAGGAAAACGGTCCTGGGAACAGCAAGACCCGCCCTCCTGGGAGCCAGGGAGTCCTGGGAAGGCCGCTGTGGGGAGGATTCTGGGTCAGCTTGTTTATGGCAAATTGCTAAATTTCGCCGGGTGTGACAGTGTGCTGTGACGCCAGCTGATGCGGGAGAACCCCGTGCGCCCAGGGCCGGCCTGCTGTGCACCGGAGACCCTGGCTCAGAAATAAGTGCTGGGAATGCAGCTCAGCGGTCGAGCCCCAACTGGGCTCGAGCCCGGTACTCACTGCGCCTTCCTCGTAGTGCCCCTCAGCTCAGGAGGAGCTGTGTCCCCGGAGGACCCCGGGCTCGCCTTGTCTGCCCTCAAAGGCCTTTCTCGTCTGGTCCCCTGCTCACCTCTCTGTCGCTGTGGCAGCTTCAGAAGTGCCAAGCTGCGACAAGGGCCACCGCCTTCTGTCCAGGACACTGCGGGGGTGAGGATCCCAACTGCAACCCAGGTTCCCTTCCCAGGTTGCCCCACAGCCGCGGCTCCCACCTCAGCTTCCTGAGACCCCCTATTCAGGCCAGCCCCACCACGAGACACTTCCCCTCACCCCGTCTCCTAGACTCGGGATTGTATTCCCTGCCTCCGCGCTGCACACAGGCCAGAGGGCTGGTGTTGGAGCCGAGCTGGGCAGAGGGGCCTCCTTCCTCAGGGCTCTTTCCCTGGGGCTGCTGCAGGTAGAGAGGAGCCTATAGTCTCATGCGCTCTGTGGTCACCTGGATGAACAGCCAGGAACCTGATCTCTGTGACAAGGTGCATCCCCGGTGCCCAGCTTCCTCCTGCAGTACCTCTCACCCAGCCCCAAATGGACCGAGTCTGTGTCTGTTTCCTTATCGCCGACAGAGGACGCTAGAGTCCGAGAAACACACGGAGAGATGGCCACAGGATTAGTGCTGCCACCTTGTGGCCACTTGTAGAATCGCTTCATGGCGCGATAGCCCAGGAAGCCAGACACTCCCGGGAGGGGGCCTGCGGCAAGATCCTGGCTCTCTAGTGTTTATTGTGAAGTTTCATACCTATGAGCTAAGCCCTTGGGAGGCTGAGGCAGGAGGATCCCAGTAGCGAGGCCAGGGAAGGCAACTTAGTGACTTTAAGGTCAGCCCACATTACATAACGAGGTCCTGTCTAAAAACATATAAATAAATAATGAAATAATTTCATTTCCATCATGTAAATAATGAATGTTTATTGTCCTCAAAGACTGTAGTTAAGACATAAAATAACACAACTGTTTCATGAGCCCGCGTTTGGTGTTTTAGACGCAGCCTTCTAGGGGTTTTTGTGTTTTTAATGCAGCCTGCATAAGGCACGCACATACCCGGTCACGTACTTGCTATGTGAGTGTACATACTTCACAGTTAAATGGGGCCTGTTTTGTGGCAGCCACTGCTCAGGACACTTTACAGAAGTGACCACATTCATTCCAACGATGTTTCTGTAGGGGTCGGCACCAACTTTCTCATTTAGAAATCCGAGGCATCAGCGCGGTTAGTGACGCACCTGGTCACAGGGGCAGGATCTGAACCCAGACCTCCTGGCTTCCTTCATGGTCTCTTACCCTGGAGCTTCACCCCGTAGAGGAGTCAGGGTATAACCCACCCATGCCGGCTCTAATGATTCCTTTTCCACAGGACACACACGCTCCTGCCTTTTTTTTTTTTTGGAACCGGGGATTGAACTCAGGCTCTTGCACTTGCCAGGGAAACACTTATTCCACTGAGCCATCTGCCCAGCCCCCAGCTGCCTTCTTTATTTAACCAGTGTGATGAGCCCGGCACAGCGACCCACGGCTGTAAACCCAGCACTGGGGAGGCTGAGGTAGGAGGATCACCAAAAACAGGACCAGCCTGGGCAGACCCAAAACCAGCCACAGCAAGGCCCAAAACAAAGGATAGGAAGGACTTTGATGGGTACAAGGGCTTGACAGGAACAGTGGGGGGGCACGCTAAATAGTGGCCCCAAAATCAGGTCCCAATCCTTGTATTTCTGAATGCGACAGCTCTCGTGGAACAGGAAAGTTGGGTGTGAGGTGGGAGATCCTGGGTGGCCGCAGCTGGGATCCAGCATCCTTAGTGAGGCCAAGGGAGCTTGGCTCAGGAGCAGACAGGGTGACACAGCGCATGAGCAGCAGCTAGAGTCGCCCAAAGGCCACCACAACCACGGCCTCCTAATGCCACAGGGTGAGGCCAGGTGGGTGCTCCGGGGGGCTCTGAAGAGCGCACTCCCACTGCACTTGCTGCCCGCTGGGGCGCTGGCTTTAGCTCGCTGGCCCTTGCAGAGTCCGAGGAGACCGGGTTCATGCTCCTGGAAGTCGCTGAGTCTGTGGACCTGGGTCAGGCACTGACCCAAGTGCTGACCACGCAGGAAGTCAGAAGCTCAGTGACTGGGGCAACCAAGACTCCAGTCCACAAGAAGAGGGCTGGGGGCTTGGACCTGGACCTAGGGCCGGCCCAGGCATCTCTGGCTTCAGTCTACTCTGGTGGGACACCCCCACCCCACCCCACTCCACCCAACCTCTGAACTTCTGCAGCCACCCACACCTGCCACTCGGGCTGCCTGGTCTTAGGGTACAGAGACAAGGTCCAAGGGAAGCAGGGCCCAACTGGGCCTGCCCGCCTCACCTCTCCCCTCCTTTCCATCCGCCCAGACCAGTGACATCCAGACGGCAGGCAGCAGTGGCCAGGCGGGAACAGCGCTGGGGACTGCCCCGTGCTGGTCACCTTTGTGCACACTGGACATGGGTCTCCGCCCTCAGGGCTGCAGGAAAGGTCATGTGTGCTATACCCATTTGGTTGTTTTGAGATAAGATCTCTATGTAGCCCAGGCTGGCCTCAAACTCACCACCATGCTCCTGCCTCAGCCTCCCGGGTGCTGGGATTTACAGGTGTGAGCCCCTGTGCCTGCTGTCTTTGTAGGGAAGAAATACAGACTCAGCAATGCGGAAGCCTGGCCCAAACGAGGCCAAGCTGTCCCTTCACCTGGAAACTAATTCTCAGAGTCCGAGGCACAGGTGCAGCGCTGGTGACAGAGAAACGCTGGTGTGGTAACTGCTTGCTGGGTGTGCTTCCAGGCTCCGAGCCCAGGGAACAACAGAGCAAAACCAGGGCCCTGTCCTCGCCGCCGGGAGGGAGCAGATGGGGAGCCGAGGGGTGCCGATAAACAGTGCTTCGGATGAGGGCGAGGACATAGGGGGGAAGAGACGGTGAGAAGAGAGAGGATCCCTGTGGGGACGCTCAAGTAACAGTGCAGAAAGCCAGGCATGGTGGTGCAGGCTAGTAAGCCCAGCACACTAGGAGGCTGAGGCAGGAGGGCCCTAAGTTTCCCACAGCCTGGGCAGTCTAGCAAGACTGTGTTTCAGAATGAAAAGTAAAAAAGGGCTGAGGTTGTAGCTCAGTGGGAAGGCTCTAGGCTCAATTCTCAGTACCAGGAAATACAAAGTGGGGGAGGAGGAAGAGACCAGACAGGGCTGGAGGAGCTGAGGTGTTCGCATGGAAGCAGCCTGGGAAGGTCTGCACCCCCAAAGTGTCCCAAGAGTCACACACGGCTTCAGTTTGCCCCGGCTGCACGGAGCTGAGGCTGAGGCTGGCTGGGACCAGGGTGGGGTGAGGGACCACTGAGCCAGCCCAGGCCTGGCAAGGATTTCTGCCATCGCCCCAGCAGCGAGCACCTGAGCAGTGGCACGTGGGCATCCTCACCTGCACTGGCCTCCAATCACAGAAATTCTTTCCGGCATGGCCCATGGCCTGGTGGGTGGGGGCTGCTGGGAGTGTCCTGGTGGCCTGGCTCAGAGGTGGTCCCCCCATTCTCTGCCTCCCTTCCTGCGTTACCTGGCTCCTGCGCACCTGTCTCTGTGGGTCTCTATTGTCATGCTGTCCAGTCTGGGCTCAAATGCTCCATCCTCCTGCCTCAGTCTTCCAGAGTGCTGGGATCACAGGTGTTCACCACCACGCCTAGCTCTCCTCTTCCACATCACTGTCTCAGAAAAACGCCAAAAAGGCAGCTACACCAGGGAGAGAAGGCTTGGGTCCAGGCACAAAGTCCACCAGAGAGCAGGAGGCAAAGGCCTGGCAGCTGGGGGGCCCAGAGGCCAGAGCCAGGTTTTACAAACAAGTCAGGCATGGTGCCTGGCGCCTGGGGCCGGCCCGGGCTGCAGAGTGAGGCCCTGTCCTGATCCTGATGGAGGGAGGAAGGGAGGGAGGGAGGAGCAAGAGAGAGGGAGGGAGGGAACGCAAATTAAGGGGCACAGCTGGACACTGCGTACTGAGAGCTTACCTCAAGCACTGACCCCGATCGCAAATCCTGCTGGCGGCCAAACGAAGATGGCTCCGAGCAAGAACAAGTCAAGAAGGCTAAAGCATCGGAGGCTTCGCCAGAGCACCCCACATCTAACCCACCTGTTTAAGAGGGAGCACTTGCCCAAAGCAAGAGGCAGTGGCTGGCCAGGCACCGGGGGTTAATAACGGTTCCCTTCCTAGCACGCTCCAGCAGTAGTGGCATGCAACTTAACTGGCCTTGGGATCTGCTACGGTTTGTGTCTAGGTGTCCCCCCAGGTCCTCGTGCAGTTACGGGGCAGACTTCTAGAGTTTGCGATTAACTCGAGATCCGGTGCTGGGATTCTGGGTGCGGGTGCTACACCTGGCCTGGAGCGGCGCCTAAAGGCAACCTGAGACAAGCCACTGCGCTGCCGCCGCTGCCACTGCTGCCGCTGCCACTGCTGCTCCCTTGTGCTCTTGCTGTTTTCCCTGCTGCCATGAACTGCTGCCCTCTGCCATGTGCCACTCTGCCTCGGAGCCAGCCGAGTGTGGACAGAAGCCTCCACTGTAAGCTAAACCAACCCTTCCTTCCTTAATTTTGGGTAGCAGGTGCTTTGTCCCAGCAATGAGAGAAGAGTCACGGGGATAGGGTCCACCCTAGGATGGCGGAGGGCACTTGGGGTGCATCCTCGGAGCCATGGGAGCTAAGCCTGGGGTCTGGCCAGCCCAGTTCCTCCCCGTCAGGGGCTGCCCAGCTCTGCTTCCTGGCTGCCATGAGCAAAGCAGCCTAACTGCGCTCCACCGTGCCCGCCCTTCCTGCCTCATCCCCATGAGCTGAGGGCCCCACACCGTGAGCCCAGCGATCCTCCCCTCTGGATGGCGGGTGCTGGCGTTACACCCAGCCATGAGAAGCCTGACACAAATGCCCTCAACCTCCCAACCCCAAAGGACAAAACATCCTGGCTTCACAAATATCAGCTCTGAAACAACTTTATTAGAAGGCTGTTTTGAATGACAAGTTCCAACCAATTCTCTAACTTGCTTGTTGACAAATTCCAGTTATAACTGTATACTTCTGTGTAACGATTTTTGCATTGATCTTTGCAGCCTATGGAAAGCTTCCTCCTCAGGTCATCCTAGGGTAATGGAGGTGCCATCAAGTGGCCAGGTGACCAGCATTATCAAGCAGGGGCAGCAGCAGGCCAGGAGGGAAGCATCCACTTCACAGGCAGGGGCAAGGGACTCGCTGCCCAGGCCATCAACCCCCGCCCTCACCCCAAATTCACAGTGAGAGGCACCTCGCCGCCTTATCATTCAGAAATGAAAAGGAAATCCCCTGTCCAGAGCTCAACCTTCCACATCAAGTCCTGAGATCTCAACTTCTTGTTGTCGCCCCTCATCTCCAGGCCCAAGAGGAATTTCTTTGGACAGACACAGGTGTGACATCAGCATGGATAGGGAGGGGATGGGAGGGATCAGGCCAGTGTCCCCTCCTGCCTCTCCCCCTTCCCCACCCTCACTGGGCAGCGATGGCAAGGTACAATCAACCATGAACATAAATATGAATAAAAAAGGAACTTGAAAGTGACAGGCTATTAATTAAACAAATCTATAAAAATAGTTAGGACATAACTCTGTTCAAATAAATACAAAATAAATAGGCTCCAAGCAGTGTGATACTTCACATCAGTGGAATGTCAGGCTGGTCCCACTTGGCCCATAGGACTGGACCCAACCCCGGACAACAGAGACAGATGGTCATGCCGCCAGCCAGCCAGCCCACCCTCCCCGCGCCTCCTTTCCAGAAGCACACGGCAGGCACAGCGGTCCAGCTCAACCTGGGACAAAACCTTTTTCCCAGCAATATATGATTAAGGCCTTCGACACCTTTCCCTCCCTCACCAGGGCACAGGTGGCGGCACCAACTCTGCCCTTGGCCTAACACACGACCCTGTGCTGCCCCTGTGCCAAGGAGCAGGGACTATGAGTTTGCTTCTGCACTGATGCCTGTCCTGGCAGAGTCTGGGACCAGGGGGCAGCAGAGGCCCCAGGGGGTCAGCTGCCCCCAAAGCCATGCGCCACAATGCCAGGCAGCCAGCGCCAAGGGCACAAGCGCATCTGTGCCCTGCTGGCGGGCTCTGCAGCAGCATGGGCTTTAACCCGAGGCAGGCGTGTGAGTGAGAGCCCCAACTCCCCGCACCTGCCTCGGCACCCCTGGCAGCGGAGGCAGGAGTGCCTCGCACCCTGCACCAAGGGTGGGGCACAAGGAGGGGTGTGAGCAGCACGCGCCCTCCTCCTGCTACAGCAAATCAAGAGGCAGGGTGCACAGTGGGCACAGGGAGGCCTGGCCAGCTGGAGGAGGGCGAGACGGAAGCAGCAAGCCGGCCTCCAAGCTCGCTATTTGGCAGGCACTGCAGGGAACGTCCTGTCCCGAGGCCTGTGAGCCTGGGCTCCTGCTGACCCTGGACCCTGAGCAATGCCCATGGGTCTTCCCTGGAAAGGGCACAGGGTCTACCAGGTCAGCAGGAAAAGCCCAAGGGCCCGCCAGTGTCCCCCTATGACGCATCCAAGGTCCCATAGCTTGGCTTCAGTCGTCTTAGTGTTAGCACATTCACAGAATGAGATGGCTCTACACCCCGGCCCGGCCGGGATCCGCGAGTCGCCGCCTGCCCCGTCATCACCGCGACTGCACGCCCAGGGTGATCTTCAGGTTCTCATACACCACATAGCTGATGCTTACGGCTGGGATCACCTTCATGAAGTTGGGGGCCAGCCCCCGGTACAGCCCAAAGGCGCCCTCTGTCCGCAGGATCTGCTTGAAGAGGCTGCTCATGGTCACCTCGGGGGCACCCTCAATGGAGGCTGCAGGCAGAAGGGTACTGGTCACATTGGATGTCTCCCACCACATCCCCACCCCAGCTGCCTGGACTGGGACCCACCTTGTGCCTGCATCCGGGTCCTGACCAGGGCCAGTGGGTAGCTGGCCAGCTGGCCACAGGTGCTGGAGATGGTGCCGCAGGCCAGGAGCACAAACACGCCAGGGTCAGCACTGTTCACCGCATAGCGCTGCAGCCAGGTGTTCTTGAGTGTCTGGAGGGTAAGGGAGGAAGGTGAGCCCCGGGTACAACACGGTTGGGGGAGGAGGGGACATAGTCATTGGATCGGCACACGAGGCATCTTCCTGTCATGTGGGCTCTCTGAGGCCACTGTACCCTGATGCAGCTCGGCAAGGCCCAGGCTACTAGCACCTGCTGCCCTGGTTTCTGCTGTCACCAGGCACCCCAGGCTAGGACAGCAAGGGGGGCCCAAGGCAGAGGGAGCGTCCCCTCCCCTCACCACCCCTTGCATGTGAACCATCAGAGGCCAAGGTTGACAAGGAGCCTGTACATAAACAGACAACCCTCATGGGAGAGGGAGAAGGTTGTCACCAAGGGGCCGGGGTGAGGAAGCAGGGCTGTCTCCCTTGCTTGCTGCGGAAACCTCACCTCGTAGACGGCCAGGTCGATGCCGGCATAAGGGATGATTCCCAGCATATTGGGGACATAGCCTTTGTAGAAGGCGGCTACCCCTTCCCTGGCCAGGATCCTGCGGGCACAATCCAGCATGCCCGAGTACTGGCCCGTCTTCCGCAGGGCCATGCGCGTCTTCAGAACCTGCAGTGGATGGCAGGGACTGTGAGCTGGGAAGCCCTCCTCACCTCCACTTGTGTAGCCTCCTGCCCCCAGCCCAGGCTGCCCCTCACCTCCATGGGGTAGATGCTGCTCTGTGCAATGGCGCCAGCCAGGGAGCCCGCCACAAGCCTCTCGTGGATCCGCAATGTCTCCTGGTCACTGCCAACCAGTCGCTTGATCTAGACAGGGACAGACAACCAGTGGGTTAACCCAGAAACCATGGTGCCTGTCCCCATCCTTACCAGTCCTCGAGGGGCCCCCAAGGTGCTGGCTGAGACCTGGTGAGCCTGGTCCATCTGCTGCTGCAGCAGGGCTGGGCCAGGCACAGGTCCCCCACCTTGCTGTCCCTTGGACATGACAGCCAGCCCTGGCTTTGGGGACCCCTGTCCAGGGGAAGCTCAACAGCCAGTGCCTGGAAACTCTCAGAAACCAGGTCCTTACCTGCTCATATGCCATGAATTTGATGGCCGATTCTGGGGCAATTTTGAGGACATTGATGCCATTGCCCCGCCACAGGGACTTGGCACCTCCCTCGCGGATCATCTGGGTGAATCCACCCACAATGCACATGTTGTTGCTGCGGGAGGCGTGGACCTGGGGGAGGACACATGGTCAGCCGAGCCAGGCAAGCCCGCCACCCACCAGGAGAACCAAGCGAGGCTAAGTCCTATCAGCTTCCACTAGATTTTTCTGCACACATGCTGTGTGCCAACTGTGCACGAAAGGCATCCACAAGTTTAAAAAAAAAAATGCAGACCCAGAATCCCAGTCCTCTGGGAGGTGGAGTAAGGAGTCTCACATGGTCTAGCCCAGCCTAGGCAAATTGGCAAGAACCTATCCAAAATAAATACAAAGGGACTGGGGATGTGCACAGGCCCTGGGTTCAATCCCCAGTACTACACAAACAAGACCAAAGCAAAACAGAAAAACACTGGCCATCATACCATCGAAATGGTCAAACATAAAAAATTAACCACGAGCCGCCTCAAACGCACCCTAGCTTCAACAATCAGCACACCAGGGCCAATCGTTTGGGCTGCTTTTAATTTCTCCAACATTCCCAGGAATTCTCTCAAAAATACAAATTGTTCAAGCCTTTTATGTTCAGGGCTTGGAAAGTGGGGTGGAGAGTTCAAAAATTAAAGAGCTGGGAAGAAAAGGATAGTGCCTTGCCTTCTTTTTTCTTTTTTTTATTTTTCAGTTTTTCTTTTCTTTTGCTACTGGAAACTAAACCCAGGAGCTCACGCTCGATAGGCAGGTGCCATGGCACTGAGCCATGTCCCCCACCCACTCTATATTTTTTTGTGGCGGTGTCTCACTACATGGCCCAGAGTAGGCTCAAAGTTTCTATCTTCCTGCCTTGGCCTCCTGAGTGCTAGGATTACAGACATGCACATAATCCCTGCCTGGATGACGCCTTTTCTGAGTAGGCACAGAAAGTGCCAGAAGGGAGCTAGGGGGACAAAGGGTGATGGGTCACTGTTCCAACAGACATCAAAGTCCAACAGAGTGTCCTGAAGCGGGTCATTTAATAACCCCAGCCCTGACATCAGAAGGGCTTATCTCTGTCCTTCAGACGTGGAGCCACGGCCTAGCAGGGCAAGGGTACTACTTCCCTGGCCTCTGGTCAGATGAGAGCCCACCCCACTATGTACTGCAGCACTCAGCGCCCACCACACCCCAGGCGTCCCTGGCCCACCAGCACACATCAGGCCACCGTAAGGTGATGCCTGGCTGGAGAACCTCAGCTAAAATTAGGCTGGCCATGTGCAAAAGGTCACCAAGGCCTGGATCTCCTGGTACCCTGACCGGGCAATGACTAATCTAATTCACAGGGTTAGACAAGTGGGGGCCAAAGCAGCACTGCAGCCAAGGGAGAAGCCAACCCGCCAGCAACCCCAGGATGAAACCCAGACAGCTCAGGCCAGCTGCTGCTCACCTGCATGAGCACCTTGAGCCTGTCCAGAGGGGCCGTGCAGGTCCTCGACACGGCCCCCGCCCCACCTCCTGCCACCAGGTGCCGCCACCACATGCCCGTCTGCCTCTCCTCCACTGTGAACTCATCCGGGACTGTCAGGTTCTCACCCACATCAAAGATCTGTGAGGAAGAGCAGCAGAGACATCACAAGCTTGACCTAGACCACTGGGTGCCCAGCCAGTGACAGGTGTCACCTACCCTCTTAAAGTGGGCACACAGGGACACTGGGTAGGAACCAAATGCAGGGCAAAGCCCTTAGCCTCCATGGCTTGGGGAGGCCCAGGCATTGAACAGGGAACACAGTGCCAGGGACAGGCCCCTCAAAACCCGCCTCCTGGGCATGTCACCGAGGACCGCCAGGCTGGCCAGGCTGACAGGATCAGAACTCAGGGGCAGAACATTATGCAAGGCCTCAGCACACAGGAGGAGCACTATACCCATGGCTGCCCTCCCTCGGGCAGCATCCAAGCCGGACCCAGCTGCCCCAAGCCAGGCTGTGCGCCAGACTCTGCCCAGCCGCCCTGAACCTGGGAACTGGTGGCACTGCCAGCCCAGATGGGTGACTCAGCCAGACTCAGCCAGAATGGACACAGCAAGCTCCGCCAAAGGGTCTCAGTCTCGGCAGAGAGATCAAGTATGGAGAGTTATGCTGACAGAAAAACGGACAGTCTGAGGGCCTGTGTTCTGTGTTGTCACTTTGAGACGGGGTCTTGATACACAGTTCAGGCTGGCCTTGAACTCAACCATGTAGCCCAAGCTGGCCTTGTACTTACTGAAATCTTCCTACCTCAGCCCCAGAATGTTGGGATGACAGGCATGTGCCACTACACCCAGCTGCTATTTGTTTCATAGGGACTAATGCCACCAAAACCTCAGGCAAGTGTGGGGACAGCTAGTAGCTGTCCCCTTGGAAAGGATCACAGGTTTGTGAAGTCGGGCATATGAGAGGAAGGGAGGCTTAGCACACCTACGAGGCATAAGCACTCATGGGGATGGGAGGGCACTGCTGGCCAAGGGACCCTGTGACCCGGGAGCGGTGAGGCTTCATGGGGCGGCCAGCATGTGGGCAGCCTGGCTCTGCGGAGCTGGCAGGTAGGCAGGGGCGCCCTCACCGTGGAATGCTTCCAGTAGAGGATGATCTCGGGGATGTTCTCCACGGGGTGCAAGAGGTGGTAGTCCCGCCACTCATTCCAGTCGATGGTCATCGTGCCATTCTTATCCATGCTGCAAGAGAGGGGCTCAGTCACCAGGAATGATGGCACCCCAGTTGCACGGTCCCCAGCGGAGCAAGTGGAGGTCAGGTGCCCGGCCCCAGAGGAAGCTACAGAAGGCACCTGTGGTCCCTAGACAAAAGTCAAGGTGGCTCCACACCTCACCTTGCACAAGGTGGGGATATACTGGCCTCTATTCGGGGGGGGGCTTTTATCTTTTGGGGTTCATTTTTGATTTTTTGTGGGTTTTTTGAGACAGGGTCTCACTGCATATTCCAGGCCAGCCTGGAACTCACTGTATAGCCCAGACTGGCCTCAAACTCATGGAGATCCTCCTGCCTCAGCCTCCCAAGTGCTGGGGTTTCAGGCGTGCACAAACACGCCTAGTTTAGAACCCCATTCTCTCAGGCACAGAAGTCAGGGAAGGAGGCAGTTGAGGGGGACAGGAGGGACACGCATACTTACTAGGTGACAGGGCCCCAGAAATGGCCCGTTCGTATTCTGACAGACAGACAAAGGAGGATGCAGAGGAGAGAGGAGAAACACAGATAAGTGCCCAGCAGAGGTTAGTGAAGCAAGCACACAACATACGCGATGGCAGGTGCGACAGGCCCTGCAGCAATGGCCCAAGGAGCAGGCCCAGGGCTGCTGTCCCAAGGACCCACAAGCACCCAGGCCTCGGGGGTTTGGAGAGACTCAGCCAGGAAGGGCAGTAGCACCTGCAGCTTCTCAGGAGGGGCTCCTGGCAGCCACCACGTCAGTGAGCTTTCTCACCAGGGCAGTGTGTAACTGGGGTATGCGGGGCAGTCTGAACAGTGGAAAGGGGGTGGCGAGGAGTTGGCCCCAGTCAAGGGCCACACAGGCTGCCAACCCCTTCTCACACAGAAACTGTTCCCAGGATGCCTTTCAGCAACTTGAAAGCCCCCAAACTACTCTTTTCTTCTTTTGTTTTGTTGACTCAAGATCTTGCTATGTAACTCAGGCTGGCCTTGAACTCACTGTGTAGTACAGGCTGGCCTCAAACTCATGGTGATCCTCCTGCCTGAGCCTTCCAAGTGCTAGGACTATAGGCCTGCACCACCATGCCTGGCTTCCCCCCAATCTCTCCTCTTCCTGGGTCTCTGAGGAATGGGCCTACTTCCCTAACTCCAGATCTGTGATTCTTTCAAAGAAGGCTGGCTGGCAAAGGTGGGACTGGTTGCCCCAGCAGGGTTATTTAAATCCTCTGCAACTGCAAGAAGGCCCAGATCAGAGTGGTCCACACAGCAGGCAGCGGCATGGGTTAGTCTCAGAGCTCCTCCTCTGCAAACAGCCAGGCCTGCTGGGCACACACCTCTTGAGGATTTTTTCCGCCTGCTGCTCTGAGATCTTGACTCCCAGGTCCCGCAGGGACTGCATGATCTCCTGGGCATCAATCCGTCCTGCAATGACAATGAGTGTGAGCAGGGCTGGGCATGTGCAGAAGCCCAAGGTTGGGAGGACCAGGCTCGGCAGGGCAAACTCACCATCATTCTTCTTGTCCAAACTCTTGAACACCAGCCTCAGTTTCTTCTCGTGGTCTTGGAGGTAGTGCACGAACTCTTCGAAGTCCAGCTGTCCATCGAGGTCCTTGTCGCCAGCCTGAACAATTTTCTAGAAAACAGAAGTGAGGTTTCGTGTTCTGGCTCCTGCCCCAGGAGGCCACTGTGCTCATCTGTGAACAAAGGTCACCCTATGACCAGAGATGCCTCTGCTCTATTCCCACAGCTGCCAAGGCAAGTCGCCAACACGCCAGACCCCTCACCTAGGTCTCCACAGCCTGTCCAGAAGCCCAGTCTGGGCCCCTCCTGCGAGCTGGAGGATCCTCGAGGCAGAGGCCAGCAGGCTGCCCGGCCCTTGTTCCTTCCAAGAGTTCCCAAGACCAGCTTGTCACACAGCCCAGTCAGCTGCTTGGCTGCCCCGCAGCCCTACCCGAAAGCCAGGCCCTGGCCCCACTCTGCTGGGTGGTGAGGTGGGGACAGCTTGGAATCAGGTTCCCTCAGGAACCCTGCCAGATGTTCTTTCTGTCCCCAGAACAAGTCGGTGGCCAGGGTGAAGGTACAGGAGCAATACTCCCTTGGCAGAAGCTCTGCCAGGAACACCGAGGCTACAGGGCAGGTAGGAGCCGAGCGCAACTAACTATTCTGGGGCCTGTGCTGATGCCTCAGCCGGTCGCTGGTGCCAGGGTGTGTGACGCCAAAGCCAACCCGAGCCTTCCCCACCAGGCACTGCATGCACACCAGGGCGCTCAACTCAGGGCTGGGTTCATGACCCAAGAAGCCTTTAAGGGACTCTGCTCATTCCATGACCATAATCCTAGTACTCAGGAGACTGAGGCAGGAGGACTGCAAGTGTGACGCCAGTCTGGGCTATATAGTGGATTCAAAGCCAGCCTGAACTACATAGCAAGACCCTGTCTCAAAAATAAAAAAAATAAAAAGGAAAAGAAAAAGAAAAAAGGTTGCAAAGCTCTGCTTCCGCCCTTCAGAGACGAGCTTTATCATCTCACGTGTAGGCACCCTTTTCCTGAGCCAGGCGAAACACTTCATGGAATTCTTTCGAACAGTTCTAGGGCCCATCGTTCTGGGTTACAGAGCCGGAGCTCGGAGAGCTGAGCATGGGGCAGTTACACAGCCCCAGGCGGTGTGCGGGGGAGTCCTGCCGGGCCTGATGGATTCTTAGTCACCTCCCCACAAATCCCACTGCCACCCCACCAAGGAGTCTCAAGAAAATGGGGAACAACTGTGAATCACCCCAACCTATCAACACCCTGAATTATGAGGCAAAGACACCCCCCTAAGAAAAATGGTGAGAGTCTCTCTGTGTCCCCTAAGCCCCCTGCCCAGAATCCCACTCACTAACACAAATCAACGCAGGTTCCAAAGCCCCTTGGGGAAGGAAGGTGGGGTTTGGAAATTAACAGTATGTGCTCACACAGTGCCCTCGACTCCTGAAGGTGCTGAGGAAGGCCCGGCCTGGAGCCCCGCATGACCTCACTTGATCGAAAGCGCACGGTGTGGGGTGCGGCCGGAATGTGGGCGAACACGGCACTTCATCTGCTAACTGGGGTTGCGCTAACTTCCTGCCAGCAATTGTGCTCTCCGCCCAGAGCGACGGCAGTCACACAAAGGGGCTGTCACTGCAGATGTCTACAGGAGTGGAAGCGGCCTGTGTGGCCCCCAGGCTGCTTGGGACAGGAAACCGGTGACCTTACTGGGCTGGGTACCCGTGCTGTGGGCCACCCCTGATTGAACCCATCGCAGCCAATTTCAAAATATTATCCTACAGCCGGCATCCACCTCCAAGCCCCTGGGCCAGCTTCCAGAACCTGTCCTGGGGTGCGTGGCCACCCCTCCTCCTCCATCTCACCCAAGTCAGTCCCTAGAATGCCAGCCTTCCTTCCCCAGAATCACGTGAAAACCAGTCATTCCCCAGCCAGACGCTGGAGGAAAAGCTCCGCGTGTCAGACATTCTTTCTCCGGAGCACTGGGCAGTCATGCCTGCCAAGCCCCCGAAGCCAGAAGCTGCTCATCCACTTAGCAAACAGCCTGCATGCATACCCAGCCTCACTGCCGCCACCACCGCCACCACCCCGCACAGACCTGCTTCCACTGGCGGTAGGTGGAGAACTCCTGCGAGGGGATAAAGATGCTGAGTTTGAAGATGGACTTGAGCTCAGCTGGAAGCCCCTTGGACTCAAAATACTGGAACTCGGTCTGGGTTTCCCCGATGAGCGGCACGTACAGGCACAGGCAGAGCATGCTGGTGGAGTGCAGAGCCGGCACTCGGAGGCCAGGGAGTGAAGCGCTGGCAGCCTCTGGATGGGAATGTGCCGGTCCCGGGAAACACACCCAAGATATGCCAGTCCTCGGCTATCATTGGCTGCTTAAGCCCTGCCCCTTTACTTAATCGAAAAAAAATCCACCCAATGTGGAGCAGCTGGCAGCCAGTGAGCACGGCCCCCAGCAGCCAGTGGCATCAGGTTGCCCAAGAGCTGAGAGCAAAGAGCAGGACTGACGTCGTCACCACCTGCTGTGAGCTCCAGAGGCAGGTTCTGCCCTGCATGCTGGTACCATCCCCAAACTAACCTTTAGTCCCTGGCTGCCAGCCCCTCCAAATGGACATATGGCCCACAGCCTGTTTTCATACAAGGTCCCCAAATGCGTCACATAATGCAATGGTTTTCTGCCATTGGTAAATCATTCCCAGCAGAAAAAAAAAAAAAAAAAAAAAAGAGGATGAGCTGTGTGGAGGTGTACACCTGCTATTCCAGCTATGCAGGAGACTGAGGCAGGAAGATCATCATGTCTGTAGCAATTGAGAGACTGGCCAGGGAGCTAGCTCAGTGGCCTAAGCGCCTGCTTGGCAAGCACAAGGTTCTGAGATCAATCCCTGGTACCAAAAAATAAAATAAATATAGCAACCACGTTATTTAAAAAATAAAAATAAATAAAATGGAAAGGATTGGGGTTGAAGAAAAATCAACGGATATAGAATGCCTGAACCCAGGACAGCTGAAAATGGGCCAGAGTAGCTGAGAGAGGGTCCTCAGCGGCCCTAGAATATGGACCCCCCCCCACTGCGGGCCATTCATCATGCAGGCGCCGCCTGGCCGGCCTGAGCTTCCGGGATGGCACCTGCTCCGGGGTCCCCAGCACCTCACAGCCCATGTGCCTGCAGCGCCCAACACATCTCACTGGCCAGCGTGACAGAGCATGCAGCAGCCACTCATGGCCTGCAGGATTCCCTCAGAGTCTGAGTCACCTGGGACTGGACAGGATGGGCCCGGGGAGGGGCACACTATGAGGTCTAGTGGGCTCTGCAGAGGGCCTCCCCAGATGCAGGAACCTGCACCTGCTTCCTGGCCTGTAACACTGCCATTCAATAGAGAAGTTTTCCAAATCAAGTGGAATTAAAAACTCAGCCAGGCCACACTGCAGGCGCTCAACAGCCTCACATGCATAACAATAGCAACAGTGGCCAGCTCAGGGTTGCAGAAACTTACTGTGGATCAGCCAGCAGGGCTGGGAAGCCTGGGTTACTAGAGGACAAGGATGATCCTCCCCAGCCAGCCAGGGCTGCGTTCCCCTGTGTCCCCCCACCCCCTTCCTTCTCAGCAGACTTCAAGGAAGGAGCCAGGTCACTGAGGACAGAGAAGGGGATTGTACCACCCACGGACCTTTGGCTGTGCGTCTCTTTCTACCATGGAGTAAATCTTCCCGCTGCCAGGGTGAATTTAAGGGGCAGTTACTATTTGGGAGTACCTACATGAAAAGGACCCATCAACTCACAGCAAAGCTTTCTAAGAAGCTGTGAGGAGGTTTCCAGAATAAGATATTGGCACTTGTGTGCAACCTTGTAATTCAGAGATCTGAAGCAGCGACCAGGTCTCTGGAGAGACCCTGTGAGGACTTTGCAAACGCCGGCCCTGGGCTGATCTGATGTCGTAGCTCCGATGGTCCCATCCTGGTAGATTTTTTTTTTTTTTTTTTTTTTTGCCGAACCGGGGATCGAACTCAGGCCCTTGCGCTTGCCAAGGAAGCGCTTATTCCACAGAGCCATCTCCCCGGCCCCCATCCTGGTAGATTGCTGGAGCTGCCCAATCCAGAATTTTTTATTTATTTATTTTTTTAAATGTATTTGGCACAGGGTCTCACCATGCAGCTCAGACTCAGATCCTCCCGTTTTCAGCCTCCCCAGTGCTGGGACTACAGGTGTGCACCACCACGCCCGGTCTCGGTGGCTGGCTCAGCACGCCTGGGGGGCAGGGCCAGGGTAGCATGTGGCGCTGGGGATCAAACTCCGGGTCCCTGAACTTGCCTAAGCAGGCACTTAGTCCACTGAGCTATCTCTTCGGCTCCCAATCCAGAACAATTTGTTCTGGGGCTGTTTTTCCCTCCAACATAGGGTCTTGCTATGTGCTTCAGCCCGAACTTGTACTCACTGTAGCTCTGGCTGCCTTTGAACTTGCAGCAATCCTCCTGCCTCAGTCTCCTGAGTGCTGGGATAACAGGCCTATGATACCACACCTGGCTCTGGGGCTATTTCAGGACACATTATAGCTCTACTGTGGGGGTCCTAAGGCAGAAGGCGATTGGCTTGGAACCTCTGTGTCGCTTTTCCTGGTGCTAACCTCTTCCTGGATCGCATGGGGAGCTTCAGTAGAAGCTTTGAATGCTTAGCCGGCCTCTTGAGGCCCTAAAAACACACACACAGGGCCACCTCCGTGAGGACACAATACAATATTGTTTAATATGAAGGAGCTTCACATTAAGAAAATAAATAGCTGGCTGCGGAAGGGCATGCCTGCCATCCCTCCACTTGGGAAGCTGAGCCAAGAGAACCACTGCAAGTCAAGGCCAGCCGGAATGACGTAGCGAAACCCTATTTCAAAAAGATAAAATAATTTTTTCATAATTTTATTGAGAGACAAATAGCAATGAGATAGATTCAAATCAAATTAGTAGGACAGTTTCAATAATTAACCCGTTGCATACTGTCTTCCTAGTACTTATTTGTTGTGCAAGATGCAGACATGATTACCTATTTACGAACACTATTACAACAAATCCTTTTAGTCACTGAATTAAGAGAATGTAGCTGTATATCTACCCTAACCATTTTGAATACACAAACACAAAATGGTCATTTATCAGCCCACCAGGGGG